AGTGATGTCCACAGGAGGGTCCTTAGACGAAGGCTTTATTTGACATAATATGGATGCGTTTCCCACAAGGTCATCTCTGTTAGTGTGCAGAGGAGGGGGCAGCAGGATCTGGGAGCAAGGGAAGCCTCCATTGCACATGACCAAGCGTGCCTCAAACAGCAAGGCCTGCCTATCTACCACAGATACCAGAGTGTTCCCGTTATCTTGTCCACAGGAGGGTCCTTAGACGAAGGCTTTATTTGACATAATATGGATGCGTTTCCCACAAGGTCATCTCTGTTAGTGTGCAGAGGAGGGGGCAGCAGGATCTGGGAGCAAGGGAAGCCTCCATTGCACATGACCAAGCGTGCCTCAAACAGCAAGGCCTGCCTATCTACCACAGATACCAGAGTGTTCCCGTTATCTTTAAATAACCCACTGTCTCTTTCACTTTCGTATCAGGGACTAATGTTAGTGAATTACATACTAAAATCCCAGCCTTTCCTTAACATCACCTTGACTTGCTGTACCTCATTGCCAGCTGGCTTCCTCAAAACTCGGAGCTGCTCAGCACTAAAGCTTTGACCTGGGCCTCTTTCTGCATGATTCCCCTGTCATATTCAGGACAGCGGGAAAAGAAGTAACTCTGATTTTAATCACCTTATTTCATGAATAATCAGACAGTTGATTTTTATAATAGTGCCATTGCATTATTTAATTTGACAATGGCCCAGCTGTAAATGTCTGCATTTCTCTTTTTGTATCATCCCTGACATCTGCCCAAGGAGAGTTTAAACCTTCTCCTGGATTTTGCTTTTGTTGTGCTTTTCCGAAAAGGCAAACACTTTGTGATTCCACGGCTCTGTGACAGTTTCATCTTGAAGGCAAGGAAATAAGTAGAAACCAAATTGCTGACAAAACCCACGTGTGAGGATTGCTGTGTGACTGCCCTCGGTAAAACAGAGGCTGTGTCCCTTCCTCAGCTCCATAGAGCGAATCCCATCGTGGATTGGAAGCCACACAACAAAAGTGCCATGCCTCAAGTTCTGCTGGCCGGCACACCTGCCCAGCTTGCCCATAAGGCAGGTTGGCCCAATGCAGGCCACCAACAAAAGGTCGTACTAACAGGATGGGGCTGATTAGGAAGCAAAAACCAGTCCTTCAGAAAGGCTGGTATTTCTTGTTTCTTTGAAGAAGGAGGGCTGAGTATGACTTCAGCATGAATTATTTTAATTGGTGGTTTTACAGACTTACGCATAGGCATGAAGAAAGCTTCAGCTATTGGAATAGTCTCTTATTTCTAAAGTCTTCTGACTTTAAAGACTTAGTGGGAAAGAACATATGAAATTGATATCTTCCAGGAACCACCATTCATTACCATTGTATCTGCATGAATGAATGACAAAAAAAGTTTTACAAAAGCAGATGAAAGGCTGGCGAATCATTTCCTATGTCATATAGAAACCTGCACATCCATCAGGCAGGATTAGCCGGAGGAGGGGCTGGGTTCGCAGGCAGCAGCAGTTAGGAGACAGGAGCAGGTTTGGCTGCTCTCAGAACAGAGCTGAGATGGGCACTGCACCCTAGACCCCCTTTCCCCCCCATATTTCATACAATGATCTGGGCAGCTTCCAGTACTGTAAAATCCAATGTAATAATTTCAAATAGTAACTACATGCAAACAGAGACAGAAATACTTTCCCGCACGATCTCCTTAGTCAAGTTATATAGAAGTTCTGCAAAGCACGTAGCACAAAAAGGCAGAAAATGGGCATAAGCCTGCAATGATAATCTGAGAGCAGAGACTCTGAGAGCTCTTCCTCCCATTCTGACTGGAACAGGGTGGTTTAAAACTCATAATACTGTTAAGAGTTAGCATGTAGATAAAGGATTCACTCTTACTGCATGCTTTCTATATCATCTATTCCTTTCACATATCTGATTCCACAGAAATCATAATTCATTTGGTTAGATGTATTTTTTTTACTTCGTTCTTCCTTTTACACAATCTTTATAGACTTAAAATACCCTCCTTTCTCTTTTCCTAAGAAGCTAAGCTTCAGGGACCATAGCAATATTAATACTTGTGGTTTGCTTTTTTTTCTGCATAAGTTTTGGGCAACTTGTTTTCACTGCATGGAGCCACCAGATGATCCCTCCTGAGTCCACTACAATTCTCACCCTTCCAAATCTCTCTCACCCTATTGAAAGCCGTGAGGTCACAGCAATGTGTAGGCACCACAGCATGTCCTTTAGGCCATGAACTTCAGCTGAACTGGGGGCCCTCCAAACCCCTCTTAAGAGTTGGTCAGGGCCAACAATCCATAGATGCCCTCAAGACTAAACATGTCTGTTCTGGCTTTGCCAGCCTGCATTACCAGGAGTCATGCCTCCTCTTCAGATGCACCACTGCCTCTCCACGGAAATCAAAGGCATTGCCTCCAAGCAGAGAAAAACACATTCTCCATGCAACCAGGCGATGTACAAAAATTGCAGAGAACTAGCAATGCTGTTCTTGGATACTCAGTTCTCTGAAAGGAAACAGCTCTTAGTGCCTGGAATTTCTGAGTGGTTTTAAGCAAAAAGCAGGGAAACAGGTGACACTGAGAAACCGTATGTGTGTCCAGATGCTGTGCTTGAAAGAGCTAAAGACTTGCTTGGTAAGGAAGGGGTTAAAGATACATATGTGCTCTAAAGCAGTGCTCCCTACAGGGTGACGTCATTTCAGGATGTTGTCCAGGCTTTTCTTCACAAATCCTGCCTTCCCGAGGGAAAGGAGGGTAATCCCTAGGGAGCAACAGGAGAGCACTCGTCCAACTTGTCCTAGGACAGCTATACGTGCCGAAGGAGAGGAGGAGAGAGCCCATGCTGTGCTGAGAAACACAGGCGGGCGTTCATGCTGTGAGCAAGCTCTCTGGGGCGGGAGTTCTCACTCTCCTTTCTCCTTCTCCTCCCTTTTGGTCCACAACACGGTGCACAGTGAGCCAACCCTCCATGTTTTTCTACAATGCATATAGACTTATTTCTAGACACCTTCTCAAAAACCTAAGAGAAGAGCTAACGAATGCTGTGGGGAAAACACCATGACAGGCATTTAAAGTAGTTTTTAAAATAACAGAAATTTACATATTTAAATTGTTTATAAATCTATAAATTATACACTATGTTATATTGTACATCTATTGTATGACAGCTGATGCTTTTGGAAGATGCTTGGAGAGAACTGTTTGTTCTAGGAATAGCACAATGGGCCATTCCAGTTGATGCTAACACTCTACTGGCTGTATCTGGTAAGAATTGCACAATTTAATGACTTTGTTACAAAAATTACCATAAAAATACATTACTGAAAAAAGAACAACATGTAAAGAATAACAAATTCCTACTGAACAATAGAGCATACCTGTCATTTATAAATCTATATTTAAATGCAAATAATGTTGTTTTGTTGTATTCATGACTGCTTGCATTGTCATTTAAATGCAAATTACTGTGTTTGTTATCATCCAAGAGAAGATTTTATATTAACTTTCATACAATATAGTCAGTTTACATGGAACCAGATAGACAAGTGTGACAATAGAGTGGATATTGATAGCGAGGATTTTGTCAGAAATCAATATAAAATAAAGCAAACGCCTTTAATATTATTTATTTCATCTGTTTCTGTTTTAGGCATGAACAGTGACAATACAGATTCTCAGAAGCTGAATAAAATTATTTCAGAAATACAGGCTTTACAGGAGGTTGTGGCTAGATTTAGACAACTTCGGCTAGATGCTACCGAATTTGCCTGTCTCAAATGCATTGTCACTTTTAAAGCCGGTAAGCAGAAAGAATCTCTTGCTCGCCTAGTCTGATAACTATGAGGTTGCTACTTTAAAGCAAAAATGATGTTTTAAACCAGACATAGCATTATATCATCCAACAGGTTTCCCGGTATTGAATTCCAATAGTCGGTGTTGCATTTTGAAAGGCTGAGAGTGGAGCGCTGGGGAACTAATGGGAACATTTAATTTCCATTGATAGCACTAGCTGAACTGTTTTGACCCACCCAAGAGTCAAGCTGAACTAGTAACTGATCTGCTTTCCAGTGCCTACACACAGTGGTTCCGAACTGAGGAGTTTCCGAAACGCTGCCGCCATAGCAGCCCTTCAAGATGAAGCCCAGCTCACTCTGAACAGCTACATTCATACCAGGTGATCAGTGCCTTCTCTCAATACTTCTTGCAGGTGTAGGGGTAAAATCACGCTCCCGCTGTAGCGAAGGTGACATTTCCGCTGACTGAAATGGGGACTGGGCTGTTACACCAAGTATACGTTGGCTGTCAGCCTGCTGGGATTTGGCATTTCCTGATGAAATGAGGAATGTGGGATTTATTCAGACAAATTGAAAAGCGGTAAAAGGAGAGAGCTTCCCGTGGGAAGGGATACCTGCTGTGGAACACTTTGCATTTCAGAAGGCTACATCTTCCTCTAATTTTATTCAATTAAATACTGCTAACGGTGATGCTCAAACCAACATCACATCTCACAGCAGTATGAGCGCTGTTGACCCACGATCTCCAATACACTTCCCCATGTCATTTCCCCCCTTCTGCAGACACGGAAATCGGGACACAAGGAGGTTAAATGGCTCTTCCAAGCTACCCTTAGTCTGTTCTCAGGTTGAAATGAAAAATCCAGAAATTGTGAATCCCATTTTGGTGCTGCAGCAGAGTGATGAGAATCATTGTTTGGGAAGAAAATATTCCTCTCTGTCTCATTCAGGATAAGTCCCATGGGATACAGAAATCTTAAAACCTGCTGTAAAAGCTGTAGCTGTCATCCCACAAAGTCTACAGGGGTAAGCCCAGGATTGCATGAAATGTACTATGCAAAATACAACCCCACACTCTAGAACAGGTGGCTGTGAACAGATCAGTAGCCTCCTGCTGTGGACCACTTCAGAGTGGTGGGACGGGGGAAGAGCCAGAAGAGCGCACCTAACATCTTCAGCAACAGCTGCTCCGGCTGGTTCAGGACTTCTGCGGAGGGCTGCGACAGGTCTTGTGAAGTCCATATCTCAGTCCTCTAGCTGCAGTGGAGGTCCATGAGACTAGCACAGTGGGAGATGGAGTGGTGGAAGAGGAACTTTTATACCATTTTTTCCTTCTGAAACTTTGATCTGCTCTCATAATAGCTCTGTCTAGCAGAAGTCAATTCAGTGTCAGAGATTAGATGGCAGCAGTCTCTGAAGCACTTCTATTTAGTCTAAAGGGAATGGCCTGCTCTGGGGATAGGAGCAAAATTGCAAATACCATCCAGTTATGGCTAGTTCAGAGCAAAAAGAATAACTGCTGCATAGCAACCGCTTCCTGTTCTTACAGAAGGCCTTTCCCATGAAGATTGCTCCCTGGAGACTCTGAGTGAGCCAGGGCCTGTTGGAGAGAGAAGCCAGGGAACAATGGTTTTACATGGCCGTGGTTTCCACTCCAGGCATGGTGACTTTTCCATTGCATTTCTGCACTGCTGGAAATATTTAGCTACTGGGCTAAATAGCATCTGTTGTAAAAGATAAAGGAAAAAAGTGCAGTCCACTGACAGGACTGTCACATTGACTCCAATGGGATAGGGCTTTCAGTTTGCGTTTCCTCCTCAGGCTTGAATTTACCTTCCTGCCAGTGTTACAGCAGTATCAGCCCTTTGATCTTAGTGGAGTCACTCTCAACAGGACGCAAGGGAGGGCAGACCGGAGAAGCAGAATTTTTCTCCGAACGACCTACTCCTTCTTTGAGGGAGACGACTGTAAGCAGAGGCTTGAGAATCACTGGTGTGAAGTCAGCACAAGCACAGCTAGAATACATATCCTATGTTGTGTTGGCTTCAAAAGCTGGGAGAAAGGATGGAAAATATCCTCTCACACAAATACATTACCTGGGGATAAAACACCGCTTCTTTAACCAAAAAAAATCTTTCTAAATGTCAATTGGTATTCAATGTATAAGACAACCAAAAGAGGGCAAAATGATTACCATGACCATCCAGCTAGGTTTAAATTGCACTTAAAATGACAGGGTATTTATTATAGGTCAAGCCCTTCCCTGAACTGCATCAAGAATATAGTAGTTGTCTAAGGGACAAGTCAGAGCAGAACCTGTCTCTGTATTGCTACTATTCTGAGGGAATAAACAAAGGAGCTAATCAAAACTCAGAGACATTGGTCTCTATTCTGCTAATCTCCATTATGAGAGTTTTCCTTGGGGTCAACCTTCTTGCTCACTGTCATGGTTTAACCCCAGCCAGCAGCTAAGCCCCACACAGCCCCTCGCTCACTCCCCCCCGGTGGGATCGGGGAGAGAATCGGAAGGGTAACAGTGAGAAAACTCGTGGGTTGAGATAAAGACAGTTTAATAGGGAAAGCAAAAGCTGTGCGTGCAAGCAAAGCAAAACGAGGAATTCATTCGCTACTTCCCATCGACAGGCAGGTGTTCAGCCATGTCCGGGAAAGCAGGGCTCCATCATGCGTAACGGTTACTTGGGAAGACAAAACGCCGTAACTCCGAATGTCCCCCCTCCTTCTTCCCCCAGCTTTATATGCTGAGCATGACGTCATATGGTATGGAATATCCCTTTGGTCAGTTGGGGTCAGCTGTCCTGGCTGTGTTGCCTCCCAACCTCTTGTGCACCCCCAGCCTACTCGCTGGTGGGGTGGGGTGAGGAGCAGAAAAGGCCTTGACTCTGTGTAAGCGCTGCTCAGCAATAACAAAAACATCCCTGTGTTATCAACACTGTTTCCAGCACAAATCCAAAACATAGCCCCATAGTAGCTACTATGAAGAAAATTAACTCTATCCCAGCCAAACCCAGCACACTCACGTGAGTACAAAACACAGGGGTTTAGCACAGGTAGCATCCATCTGTACAATTTGCTGAATATTGGTCTTTTCTGTAAAGTAAAAGATTTTCTTTGGAAAAATATCTAAAAACTTCAACAGGTTTTTCTCTCTCTGTCTCCCAGGTATCCCACACAACCCTGTCGTTTTGGAAAACTTTTATTGCTTTTACCAGCTTTACGTTCGATTAGTCCATCTACAATAGAAGAAGTGTTTTTCAAAAAGACCATTGGGAATGTACCAATTACAAGACTGCTTTCAGATATGTACAAATCCAGTGACATATAAATTACCTTAAAAGAATCGATCAGGATGGACAGTTTGAGAAGAACTTTTATCTATGGAGAATAAGCCTCAACTAACAAAACCTACAGGAAGCATAAGCCTGGGAATGTTTAGCCTTTAAACCCATTGACAAAAAATATCCCAGTAGATATGATTCTGCTGCTCTGAACAGAGTGATTTAGATCATGGAGAGAATGCTTTGTTCTACAGAAAAAGTGAAAGTGGTTGGAATTTGGCTGCTATTCCTGGTACTACAGGATGGAGGCAATTCAGATGCCAGTCATAGTTAACAAAGACTCCGCTATTCTCTCATTTAACTGGCAGATCTAAGACAAAATGTGAAAGAAGGTACTTTGATTTGTCTAGTATTTGGAACTGGGTGACCAAACTTGGCTTCTGTTGTAATGTGAGATGCAGTGGCCTTCAGAACTGTTTTAAAAGTAGCCTATGTTGGGAAAATCTTTTTAATATGATAGGCAACATTTAAGACCAGGTTACCAAAACATTGCTTCTGCTATAATACATCATGAAGTGGCCTTCAGAACTGATTAAAATGTAGCTTATGACAGCAGCTTCATTCTTCCGGCAAAATGAACTGGTGATCTTTGATGCGGATGTCACCACAATTTGTTCGGTTAACATCTCAAAGACAGAAGAGCTTTATACACTTCCCCCCCGACCTTCCCTCCTTCTTCTTCCACACACACAGACACACACATACACACCTGAAAAGATACAAGTCAAGAAAGGAAGACTAAAACAGCAAAACCAAATACAATGGAGATGACCACTTCAGTGACCTGCTGGCTGTCCCGTTGGCACAGTGCTGAAACCAAAGGCAACGGTGGCCAAACTCTTTGTCAATGAGATGTGCAGAGAAGTGAAATTACTATAAAAAAAAAATCGACGGAAGGAATTTTATTTCAAAGAAATAAAGGTTGTTGACTGATACAATGCTAACAATTTCCAAAAGTCTCCAATGCCTTTTTAGAAAACTCCAGGTTCTAATTTTGAAGCCTTGTTCGCCTACACCCTCTCACACACAAAAACGTTATAAGCTGCTTATTTGATGTATAAAAAATGTAGAAAAAACATTTAAAGATAGCTGCTGTACTTTTCAAAATTTGATTTGTTATTAGGAACTAGCACTGAGAAAAATCAGCACTTGGACTATCATAGAATGAGTAAAACTTTTCCTGTACAAAGTGGATTAACTGATTTGTGAAGTTAAAAAGTTGTACTCATTGTATTTACAAAGAATAAAAATATATTGAATTTAAATTACTTTCCACTGTTCTTTTAATGCTTGTCCTTCTATTTCTGGATTAGTTTCTTCCACTGTACCCTACTTACCAGGGAACAGAAATAATCTCTACTAAAATGGATTGCCTTGGATTCTGTAGAGTCTCCATCACCAAAGGTTTTAAAAAACATGTTAGACAAACATTTAAGGAATAGCTTAGGTGATCCTGCCTTGGGGCAAAGGGACTTTGAGGTCCTGCATAGAGCTGTTTTCTATAATTCAAATATACACCTGCTGCAAGGTTTCCTTCTCAAGGAACTGACACAGAGCTTTTTCTAGGACACTAAATGGATCAGAGGTCTAACCTAGTGTAAGTCTTCTGTTTCATGTTATTACAATTTTTAATATCAGCAAATTGTGCAGCTAACAAAGGGTGATGAGTACAAAACCACTGCTTCAATTAAAAAGATTCTGAGGTTTTATTAAGGTGTTCAATTGGGTAATCACACCAAAGAAAGAGGTAAGCAACTCCCAATGCACAGGAACAAGTTGGCTACAGGAGAAGGGAAATCGTTCATATGGCAATGAGTGACTGAAGAGCCATGCACACTAAAATGACAGGTGGAAATGTACAGTGTATATCAATGGCTCATTGGTTTTCAGTGTCAAGGAATACAGACCACAAGCGAAATCCTAGCTCCACTGACTCCAAGCACAAAAATCTCATGCGTTTCAGAGGTCAAAGTTTTCACCCCATCTCTCTTCCATTTGTGCAGTTTGTGAGGTCTCACATTCTGCCCTTTCCAAGACAGCCAGACCATAAAATATACAAGACCATTCTTTTGATAAGTCGGGTGAGACAAAGCATGGGCTACAGGACTTAGAAACATCTTCTGTACAAACTAGCATGGAGCACTTGAGAATGCGTTTAGCAGAGGGCATAGCACATTCTTAGAAAGAAACCAACTATGAAGTGTTCTTACTGCACCTGTAATAACCTTCAACCATTTTCTGCTCTCTACACTAAAAAGAACTGGACAGGGCAGAAAATCAATTGTGGCTGTCCACGCTGTGACAATTCAGCTTATAAGCTAAAGAAGTTGAGCCCACTGCTGTGCAGAACCCATGACAGAACACTCATTTCAATAAGATTGGTGCTGCTATCCCAGAGCAGCAATAAACATGAACTGCATCCATACTGCAAGGCAACCGCACTCTGCAGTGTGGTGTAGTCCCAGTCCCTAGATCACCCAGGCTAGAGGATGCAACAGAGTGTACTGGCTTTCTCCCAGTTGCAAAGCAGGCAGGGCAATGGGTGCACACCCATATCTCATCCTCTTACCTGCAGGACCTAGCCCAGCTGCAGAGCAGAATCATGAGCTGGGAACAATGCCCAGATCCCTGTAGTTTAGGCACAGCTAATCTCAGACCATGTCTTCCTCCCAGTACTGCAGGTTGCACAGAAGCAGAACCAGTTACACTACACTAGAATTAGGGTCTCCAGTTAGCCTTGAAGGACTGAAGGCCAGGTGAAATCCCAGAGTCCAGTGTAGATGTCCTGTCAACCTCAGAGGTTAACACTCCAAAGTCCTCACTTTGGAAATAGGAATACTTTGACATCAAGCATGCAGCTTTTCCCTCTTCAGCTTAATTCTTTTTTTCCGCAGCAGATGATACAGATTTGTGTCATCATCTTTTAGGGATACAATGGGGCATTTACTCTGATTTCTGAAAGAAGCTTCTCTCAGAAAAGAACATTTGAGAAAAGAAAAAGAACACCTTACTATGTATTTAAACCTAAATAATAAAACTTCATATACGTTTAGCCCTTCTTTCCCCATCTCCAAGAGTAACTCAACTTTTAAGTGTGATTCAACAAGCACAGGGAATTTTAGAATTGATTTTACATTATCAAAAACTTCTTGAAAAGCTAGACTGTGTTGAGAAGCTAGACAGCTCTGGGCTGCAAGTGGGCTCTGTCAGTTTTGGTCCTGGTTTCATGAACAGGACTGTTGGAAAGATTCAGCACTGTCTTTGTTAAGTATGAGGGGGACAGAGCAATTATTTGAGCATCTAACTATTCAGTGTAGCTAGTCACTAGTACTACATATAATCCAGTCAGCCACCACTGTTTTGTCAGTTCAAACTTTTACATCCAGATTTCCATAAATGAGGTTAATGGTCTTAGTTAAAGGAAACTAATAACTTTGCCAGTAAGTTTGTAGGATTTTCTCAACAGTGGTAAGAAATATTATAAGCAGGAAAAAGCAGTGGAGCTAAATCTAAGCCAACACATACTGTTACCAAATAGCACAAAATGCTGGATCAGATTGCTACTAGAGTGTTCTTGAATCTGTTTTCAAGAGCATCGGGATAGCTAACTCCCGTGCCACATTTGGAAGCACTAAGGAAGCTTCTCCAGCCATAGAAGCACCTAGTGAGAAAGACAACTTCAGCAGCGTTGCTTGTGAACCGCAGTTCAGGCATCAACAACCTGCATTCCACCAGTGGTCATACAAGCACAATGCTACAGCTTCCCCTTCCTTTAATGTTCAGGGAAGTGGTCTATGATCTTATAGCAGGCTTGTACGACTTCATGTCCCTAATTGTATTTGTAGAGCAGAGCTACTTTAATCTAGGACTGAAGTTATAATATATTATAGGTTATGTCAACATTCCTTTCTCTGTAGGACAGTATAATTTTCACTTGCTAGTTGAAGCTAGATTGATGCTTCTCATGCCAAGTAGAAAGGTACTCTTTTCCCAAACATGTTGAAGCCACGCATCTGTTGACTGCCTACCATGAACGGGGTTCCAGCTTTGGCTCCACAACACAGGAACAGTCTTCAATACTTTTATATGTTCTTTAACACTTGAGCAGTGAGTGCCAGCATCTAAGAGTATTTAGTGCTGACTGTTACTAACACAAGACCACACTGCAGAAGAGCATTACAGCAAGGCTGAAACACCAGTTCACTTAATATAGTCAAGTCCCTGCTTCTCAGAAAGCATGAGATACCCCACATTCAAGGCCAAGAGTGACAAAACATTTGAAGTGCATTTTCACTTTTATTTCAAAACTTTAGACAAGTTACTATAGTATATAAATTTGATTTTTTCCTCTTACAGAATATAAAGATAATTCCCTCATTACTTCAGTATAAAGTGTTTTACAAGCTTGAAGACAATTGCATAAGTGTTTCTCACACAGGGTATCAGAAATAAAGCTGTCTTTCTACAGAAGTTCAGACAGATGACTACCTCAGAAACAGCATAGCAGTTTAGTCAAATACAAGTGAACACATGACACTACAACTGTGCAAGTTCAAGTAAGGCCAAGTCAGTAAACATTGTTAAGTCATTGCAAATAAGAGTGGAAAGGTTTGTGAGACTTTGCAAGGGCTGGATGGTCTCATAGTATAATACTTTTAAATCAAGGATTCAGAGGGATTTAGCTAGAAGATGAGTGAGTTCTTTAATGCTATAAAGCATATGCAAAGACCAAGCAGTGTACTGATGTTAGTGGAGACTTCGTGCCTGTTTATCCTCAGCATGCTAAGACAAACTACAACCTCTTAAAACCAAGCATAAGAACCACTAATGTTTGAAAAGATGGTTTCAGAACTCAAGTATGTCTTATTTTGGATGGTGTGTAGTTTTTGTCTATTACTTCATCTTGCAAGAACATGTGAAGACAGCGCTCGTTCTGTGCCAGTGGGTGGCCTGCAACCCTGGAGAGGAAAAAAACAAGCATTAGTGCTAACAAATCAAGTCTACTTGCAGCTAGCCAGCAGAGCAAGGTTTTATACCAATAATCTATGGTTCTGCACTTAAACATAGATCCCACTTCCAGTTCACTGTTGGTGACTAGAATGATGACTGGCAGCAAGATTTGTCACTCTTCCCCAGATGAAGCTAGTCCATAGGAACCCTGAGTTACCTCTGATCACTTGGAAGCATGTTATGTCACCATCTGTCACCTGCAATCAAGCGGACTATCAAAGTGCCCATCCTAGCATTAGGAAATGTACAGTTAAGCAAGCCAAGTGGATTTTTACAGGTCTTGATGCCTTTGACACAGGACACCTTTCTAAAGTCAGCTTAACCCCTCAGTTTGCAGTCTAATTCAACAGCAGTTAGCCCAGGCAGAGCTAAAGATTTACTCCACCAGGGGGTGTGAAGGTCTTCTGAAGGCTCTGACACTGTCTAGAGCAGTGACTTACATGGTCACTATTCCTACCATGTACAAGCAGCACTGATGCACAGCCAGAGGGTACCAGCCATTCTGTTTATTGCAGATGTCTTTAGATATGAAACATAGGAGACAGAGCCTCCTATGAGGCCAGCACCTCTACTGTAGATTTAGTTTTGCTCCACATATAGACTGAGCCACCATCCTTTTAACAGTAAAGGAGCTGAAACTGCATTTGAAGACACTTCCAAGCTTGGAAGAAAACGACAAGATATTGCATTTAAACCCTTAAAATAACATGCAGCCTTCTGTGTAAGTAAAAATACAAGAGAACCAGAATCCCTGGAAGTCAATCACTTATGGATATGAAAACCTAAAGCAGTTTGGTTTGAAAAAAGTTACATCCAGTTTGGTCAATCAAGACAGGCTTCTTCCATTAAGAGAGAAAGCCCCCCATCCTCCCTAGGACAGCTTGTGTCAGCCTTATGGCCTCCATATCTAGAGAACAAGTCTTCTGAGGAGCGGCTGAGGGAACTGGGGCTGTTTAGCCTGGAGAAGAGGAGGCTGAGGGGAGACCTCATCGCGCTCTACAACTACCTGAAAGGAGGTTGTAGCGAGGCTGGGTGTTGGTCTCTTCTTCCAAGTAACAAGCAATAGGACGAGAGGAAATGGCCTCAAGTTGCGCCAAGGGAGGTTTAGACTGGACATCAGGAAAAACTTCTTTACTGAAAGAATGATCAGGCCTTGGAACAGGCTGCCCAGGGAAGTGATTGAGTCACCATCCCTGGAAGTATTTAAAAGACGTGTAGATGAGGCGCTTAGGGCCATGGTTTAGTGGGCATGGTGGTGTTGGGTTAACGGTTGGACTCGATGATCTTAGAGGTCTTTTCCAACCTTAATGATTCTATGATTCTATGATTCTACTCTAAAAGGAAGTCATCTAGTTGAACACATGTAATGCACAGGCAACTTCAGTGGCTCAGCATCAGTACTTCCAAGCACTTTCTCCAAATGTATCTATTAGTATTTATTTCACCACAGGACAGATTCACTTGTCACTACTCACTTGTCATTGAGGGTGTCCTTTAACGAGGAAGCTGAGCTCTCCTATTCAGCACTGATAGGTTTTATGACTGCACTTGAAATAATCTATCAATCTTGCCAGGTTCTAGTAAATGGGCAGCAGTCTCAAGCACTAGTTCACAAGGAAGACAGTCTGGAAATAACTACTTTCTTACCCCCATCAGACTGAAGTTGCTGGCCTTGAACTTCAAGAGGAAGATACACAGGAGAAGATGATGAGGCAGCAGCATATTCCTTCTCCGTTTCAGCAAGGCTTGCAAATTGGTAGCTGAATTGCAAGACTAGACCTGATCTCTCAGATTCAGCTCTTGGTTTCACATGAATACCTCACTCTGCATTGGATTTTCCTCAGTATTCTTCTCTAAGGTGACCCTTACACAGAGCAGCTGCTACCTCAAAAATTTTCATGTATCCCAAAGTCAGGTTCAGGCAGACAAGTCTGTTGCGACATAGCTACGCCTGTGAATGTCATTGTAGGTAGTATTGATGGTGGTGCCAGCAAGCTGGCCTAAGAGAGCCGACTCAAGTAAGCTGCACTGCTGTGATTTAGTCCCCCTCTATTTTACATCTAGAGGGACAGCGCTTCTCAGCAACATCTTGGATATCAAGAACTGGCATCGGTGTATCAAGATCTTTTTTGGATACAGTGATATCAGTTATCTGAGGGACTCTTGTCTAGGTCTAGGAGTGAAAACCAGCTTTGTGAATGCAGTAAAGTGACTGTATTATGCAAATTAACTTCAGGACTAACTTCACTAGTACCCAGAGTACTTGGTAGAACTCTTAAAGCTTCTACATGGTTCAAAACTTTAATTATTAATATTTGCTTGATGAGTTGGTCATGCCATTAGAATAAACTGATGAGGCTGAATAGCTAGGAGTTCTGACTGAAGAATCTTGTTCCAGCTGTACTCAAGTCTGCCACTATATCAATATCGACATTAACAGCCTGCTTTTATGTTTCAAAGGAGGAAAAATTGACCAAGAAGTTTTACACTTCCACAAGATCAACGTATTACTTGCTGTAGGACTGAACAAGTGATACCAGTAAACTGGCCACTCCGTTTCTGTCAGCTATATTGAGTTTTTCAGAGATTCCAGTTAAGATGACTGTTTCACTATCAGCTGCTTCAGAACATAAACAGCCCTCTTCCCCCACATATTGCTAGACTCAGCATACAAAACTTTCAGTAAGTGCACTTCTTCCACATTTAGAGTCCCAAGCCTGCATGGATAAAAGTTGTACTTTACAGTCATGACTGCCTTGATTGTACAGCCTTACAAAAATAACACACATTCCATCTTACTATAAGCACATGTGCCTTAATGTAGTGTAAATGCAAAACTACATGCCTCGGAAATTCATTCCACTGTCTTTGAACAGAGGAAAAAGCATTCTAAAGCATTTTACCTACTCAGAACCATTAACAATACCTCTAAATTTAGCTAACAAACAACTATGTGAAGAAAAACTTAGGAGATTTCATGCAGTCACACTTAGCTCACTTGTACAAGACAGACAGTTTTAGTGAACTAGTCACTTGCAACTCCAAGTCACATGCCTGAACTGACTAACAATGACAAGCAGATCAAGCTCTGGCTTAACTCACAGACATCCTCTGTCCCTGTTCAACAGCATCACTATTCAACAAGATTAAAATGCTAGTGGAACTGACAAGCTTGAACTTTTAAAGGCAGCAGTCCCAAATCCAGTTGGTCTGAACAGTATTGGCTCTAGAGACCAGAAGAGCTGGATAACTGACAGTATTCCTTCTTACCCACTGTTTGGATCCACATTGTTAAAGAGATTAAAGTAGCTCTTCAGGTCACTATATGGAGAGCGGTTAGTAGTGTCAGATGGTAGAAAAAGAATCGTAAGACTTTGTTACTGTAATTTCTGCTCACCCTTTGAAAGGCAGTGACAAAACCCAGAGTGACTATTTCAAACTATGTATGTGCATACCTCAAATAGTGTTTTTACATTTCAGAAAGATTCTCATGATTAGAGAAAATACGCATTGTTACACAAGCTGATAATACCTCACATCTGCAATCAAAGTAAACTACTGTAAGCCCATTGTAAGCTCCATTGTTCACCCAATAGAGGACACCTTTTCAGAAATGAAAAAGTAGAACTATTTTGAATGCTATAATTTTAGTGGTAATTTGCATAAATTAACAACATCACTAACATTCATTTCAGCTGTTCAGGTAAGCATTAAGATATCCAAACAACCACTGGATGAGCAACGTTAGCATGTCCTACTGCAAGATTATGTGAAAGTTATTATTCTGAACCTAGTGCAGCTACCATAGTTTGTGGATTAGCAGCTTTAATTCAGTTTTCTGGAGCTGAGTTCTGGGTTTGTCTCCAGATAACTAGACCCAAAGACCCAACACTTACTTGTTTATGAATTGTTCAAGAGCCTGCTTCCTTTCCTCTATAAAGGAATCATCAAATATGCCATCATCTCCTCGGAAGGGGAGCTGACGGAGAAGAGCTTTTCCTGGTAGAGGTGGTACCACAACCTGAAAGATTTAGAAAAGTGTCCTTAAGTGCAGCCTGTAAGTAAGTTTATACACCTCCTGTGGCATCTCTTCCTCCTAGAGGACCCAACTCATCAATCACATCCCTAGTGAAGTAAAAAAAACATGACCAGAGGAAGAACAGTATCTGTCATAGAGGTAAGTTGAATTCAAGTAGTTTAACTCTGAACTCTGAATTAACTCAAAACCATTAAACATCCTTGTAGCATTGTACAACTGAGGTCTGCTGAAAGACAGTGTTTTAGTTCTGGACATTTTCAACCACAATATCTGTTCTATATGATACATATGCTTTATAACATAATGATAACACTTCAGCATCACTACTCTTTGTATGTCTATGAAGACTTGTATTTACCTTTCATTTTACCCACCTTGCTTTCTCTTTCTAGTTCATTCCTTAACCATTCAAAGTCACTGTATCTTCTTCTGACTGTAGATTCTTTCAATTTGAAGATAGGTAGATTTGTCTGAAAACAAGAACATAAGCTATTGATTAGACAAATTAGAAGTTTTGATAAGCAGAAGCAAGAAACAAGCTGTTAAATTACAAGTTAGTTCCACTTCAGCACAACAGTATTGAGAAACACTCAAGATAGAGCTTTATCTGTATTTCTGTAAGCCACATGAGCAAGCTGTGCCTCAAACTGCTTAACTGTGGGCCTCATTTATATGGCATCCTAATCACTGGTATTTTGCCACCATATCACCTAGCAGAACAGCAGATTTGCCGGTCACTTGAAGAGATGTTCCTAAGGTTGCACAAGCATCTTCTACTCTTACTGTCTCAGGAGCTGGATTCCCAATGCCAATATATGTACAAAATTAGGGGAGGGGGAGAAGGGGGGAAGAAAAAGTCTTCTTAATCCATGCAGGCTCCTCTTATTGCATTCAAGGGAGTCTTTCAGGTACTAGCATAGGACATTAAGCAAGCTTCCTATACGTTTCTGCTACCCAATACAACATGGCCTCCAACATCTTTAAAAGCAAAATCATTAAGTCCTACAATGAATTCATTTGGGACAGATGAAGCTGAAGGTTTCCTAGTACAAGCTGCCAGGTTTGGATAGCCCCAGAGAAGCCAAGATGCAACACAACATTCAGTGCTGATGAGATCAGACTGTTTTGCTACAAAGTTAAGCCAAGCAGAGCTTGATGAGGCAGAACTTTCCTAAAGAAGGCTAGGAGTCAGCACCCACCTAACACCCTTGAAAGAGACATCAAACGGGAGCCAGGCTATAATACTGCACAAGACCATGTTAAATACATGAACATTTCGATAGGTGTCCTTGCACTAACTTGTGTAAGAGCCTATACTACTTCTATTCATTCTTGAGGTGCAGGGTTATCCCATTGTTATAATCCAACTTGCACGTTATTTTAAGAGTGGACATCGAGAGAGCTCTCCTAATGACATCCCCAGAATGGAAAGCTCCAAGATCACAATCTGAAGCTTAAATGTTGAGATGGCAAGCTGGCTAGAGTGTTACAAAAATGTTTGTAGGAGCTACAACCTACTAAAAGCAAGACCAACAGTCTGTAATTGCCATACATAACCAGCACTAACAGAACAAAGCTTACTGTTGTCAGACTGCATATTCACTTGAATATGTCAAGCTGTCACCTTGAAAGACAACTATTGAGGAGCACCCTAGGAAGCTGACGTTCACATGGGACTACAGTTATCCCGTTTTTCTGTTGGCATAAGGACTGTAGTCATTCTCAGCTTGTGCCTTCTGGTTTTTGTTGGTTTATTTTTTAAGTTGTAAGCCATCTCACTCAGCTTCCGGTCCCAGTTTGAGTGAATATCCCTGTACAATATCATTTGTAGGCTGTTATGCTTAAGCTATCATTGAGTGATACTTTTGGCTGCTCAAAGCAGGTCTAATTGCAGAGATTCTTTCCTGCACTAGGCAGGCCTATGACTACAGGCCATTGTATTACTGCCAGCCAATAACCAGTTTTTGGCTGTCACAGTTCAAAAGTACTTGAGAAGTTAGTTGTGTACTTTCACATTATGCTATTTAGTCCATAATTTACAGACGATAAAGTACAGAACAGTATTTTGTTATGAAATCTCTTACTGCTAAATGTTTAAAAGTATTCAAGCTCTCCTTCCCAGGTAAAACATTGTTGATTGTACTAGTGACTAATAATAAAATTGCACTTAAGTCTATTATGTCAGAAGTCAGGCTTTATAAATAAACACTCATCTTGAGGATAAGAATACCCTACTCAAGAGTGAATAAAGCTAGGTTCCCCAGAGTGCATGAAGGAGCTTCCCAGAAGTGAAGTACTGGATTATTTTTCTCTGATTTCAGCTATTGGCTTTTTAATCAAGTTCAGCCTTCCACATTACAACACCAACTCTTTGTCAGTGTCTCGGGTAGAAAGGCCTTTACAACATTTAACATATAGGCTCTCACCTGCAGAAAATATTCCATTCTCCTCTCAAGTTACTTACAAGAGGGATTAGAACTGAATAAAAGCCGCTAAAAACAATGAGTTCCCAGGTCTTCAGAAACTCTTTTCATGCTTCTGGGCATGAAGTCTATAAAGTTAATCTCTAAACAACATATCAGGCTTACAGGTACAATGTGGGGGTAGAAGTGCCAATTGAGCTCATTTTACCTTCTACATTCCCTTTTGAACTTTTGACATGCTAGCCTGGCTAGCAAGTTGGAGAAAAAGACAGTTAGAGTACTTGTTTTCCCTTCAAGTTAAAAAATCTTCTCAAATTTTGATCATAAGCACTGGAAATGTTCAAACTGAAGTGTATGCTAGAAGGCTCCCATTAAATTAAGTGGCTTACAAGTCACAACTTGACAACTACATGCTAAAGGAAAGTGTGTGTCCCTCATCCTTTGGTCTGGATATGAATTAGAGCTACCTGTTGAGATCAACTTCTAAACCTCATGTTCCTTAAAACCCAGAAACTGCAGCATTTCTCCTTTCTCCAGAAATTAGTACTGATAGAGAACGTTCTTCAGATATGCAGCTGTTAGAAAGGATCTATTTAAAAAAAGCAATTTGAGAGTCCTGTTTTATACTGCTTAATCTATTTTTAACTCAGGATATATTCACACCTGAAGTTACTGTATGTGCCTTTCTCATTAAGGATTATTACCCTGTTTAGCAGACCACTTTTTCCTTCAGTAGGAAGGGTTTCTGCATGTCCTACTGCCTCCATCTACCATGGATAGATGGTTTTCATTAAGCAAGCCAGACGGCTGCTGAAGCATGGGCTATGATTGGGCAAGAATTTGGTAGAAGGAGACAACTCTAAGGTGTCAACAGAAGCTTTCAATTTCTATTGAAGTGTCACTTCAAGACCATGCAGCACATCAAAGTTATTCTCAGCTTCACAGTTTATCTTGAGAGTTATCCTTGCTTAGTCACTGAGGTGCCAGTAGCTATTCTCAAAACTGCTAGTGCCTTGTTTGCCTGCTAGAACAGAGATGAGACTAAGGCACAAAACTTGAAGTCAGGCTAGTTTCATTTTTACAAACATTTCTCCTCATGCTCGTTCAGCATTATAGTGCCTGTTTTCTGGCCTTCTGATCTGCTAAGTCTACTGTCATGAAATTCATGACCCAGTTTGGCACAGCCCCTGGAGCATGGCTCATTCCTCTGATAAATTCAGCATAATTACTGCAGCAATTGTTTTTTCTACAGTGTAATAATATCTCATTTTTATCAAAAGCATTTTCAACGACTTCCTAGTCCAAAATGATGCCTCCTAGCAGTTTGAATGCAAGTCCTCAATCTGAAAGGATTATGCATTACCTAAGACATTAGACAACCAAAAGTCACTAGTCAGAATTGCAGATAAAGCTTTATTCCAGAAGGATTAATAAACCAGCTTTGCAGAAGTCCCACATAACCCAAAATCCTAAGCATAGAAAGATGCTAAGACAAGACAGGTTCTATCTAGCACTGTTTCTGTACTAGACTGTATATATACACCCATTAGGCTTTCTCTGACTGCTGTCAAACTAACAGTCTGTATTCTGTTGTGTGAGTTAATGGCCAAGCCAGTACACTGGAATAAACATTGTCAGAACTGGTGCCAAGTTAAATTACATAGTTAAACAGCAGGTGACAAACCCAGACCCTTAAGTCACTCCTGCATTCCTCCACTCAGATGCCAAACAAGTTTCTACAGTCATTTGGCTAGCATTCAACAAACTGGTAATGGGAAGCACTGGTTGCCTGCTAACAGATTTCAGGGCAAAACCTGTATTTACAGAAAGCATGTTTCTTCAGCTACATTTATGTTATTATAACATATTCAAACTACAAGTCCAACTCCAAGCTCAGGAGATTCCCAATTCATCTCAAAAGCAAATGACAGCCCTAAGACAGTAGCTTGGATAACCAGATAACAGTCTTCTAGCTGTTACTATGGTCAATCCCCGAGCTATGCCCAGAAGTCCGAAAATTGATTATGTATACAAGTAAGGAGACTTTCACAGGCACAATGCAAAGTTTGAGTACTAGTAATACTGTCCATTCAGCTTCAGATACACAGCTCCCCAGTGCAGCCATTCTGGTATACAAGTTACCTTAAACGCAGGAGAAAACTAGACTACTTTATTTAAAATATATTAGTTCATAATTCTAAGTAATTTTAAGCGTTCTGTTATCTAGACTAGATTAATTTATCCAGTGAATGGAAAAAGCCTTACAAATAGCTAGACTTGCTCCTACAAATTTGTTTCCAGACAAAAACTGAATGCAAATAGCATTCAGGTTCCTTCAAAGAGCATGCTGACACTCCACAAGATTGACTCTGAATGTCACTGCAGCCCAATCCACCCCCACAACTGCAGAAACTCCACAGCTGTAGTTGTCCAGGATAGTTTGAGGCAAATTTGATTCATTTCCTCATCTGCCAATGTATAACACTCATCAGCAGCCCTGCATTGCCCGTGTCTCCCACTCCTAACAGACTGAGAATAAAGCTGCACTGTTGCCATAGCACCTACTTTGATGTTGCCTTTTCAAGTAGGTTATGGTAGCCTTGATACAACTCTATTTCCATTAAAATAGAGTGAAAGAAAGCACTCAGCTCACTTTTGATAGAAGTTTGTGGCCTTGACTCTCAGAAACTAAATTCAAGCTTCCTACTACCTCTTCATACAAGCTGTAATCTTCGTCAAGAGACTACACCCTTTGGCTACATTTACAGTCAGCCAATGGGAGCTCTGGGGTATTACAGTAAGTAGCATTCAGGGTGGATCAAAAAATATTATGGTTTTCTTAACGCAAGAGCCTGCTGTCCTTTAGTACAAGAAACTGGCTTCAGCAGTCCACTGTTATTGCAGAAACCTTGCCGGTGATTTGCTTCCTTCCCGACTTGACATAAGCAGCTACCTCCCCATTTCCTACAATTATAAAAAGCAAGAAAGAAGGCAAACATGCTCTAAACTTCAGTTGCTAGAAGTTTAGATTTTTGCTGTGTACTTTACTGAAGGAAAATCTCTTTC